CCATTCTGACCCCAAACCCTCCCCTCCCGCCTCCCACCCCCCAAAAGTGTCTCTGGTTCATAGTTTTCCGTTGATTTTGATTTTCACCTTCTTATAGTTATTCATTTTCCTGATCCCTCATTTAGGTTTTCTAGATTCCTGCTATGAGTGAGACCATCCAGTATTTTTCTTTTTCTTTTTGGCTTATTTCGCTGAGCATGATCCCTTCCAGCGCCATCCATGTTGCTGCAAATTGCATGTGTTTATCTTTTTTGAATGCAGAGTAATATTCCATGGTATATATGTACCACATCTTCTTGATCCAGTCATCTATTTTTGGGCATTTGGGCTGTTTCCAAAGCTTAGCTATTGTAAATAGTGCTGCTATAAACATAGGGGTGCAGGTGTTCTTTGGAATTGATGTTTCTGTGTCCTTTGGGTAAATACCTAGGAGTGGAATTGCTGGATCATATGGAAGCTCTATGTTTAGTAGGTCCAGAAATCTCCACACAGCTCTCCATAGTGGTTGGACCAGTTTGCACTCCCACCAACAGTGTAGAAGAGTTCCTTTTTCTCCACAACCTCGCCAACATTTGCTGTTGCTAGTTTTTTTAATATGTGCCATTCTCATTGGTGTAAGATGGTATCTCATGGTAGTTTTGATTTGCATTTCCCTGATTACAAGTGATGTTGAACATTTTTTCATATGCCTGTTGGCCATTTGCATTTCCTCTTCAGAGAAGTTTCTTTTTAGCTCTTCTGCCCATTTTTTGACTGGATTATTTTCTTTGTTGTTGGTGAGTCTCATCAGCTCTTTGCAGATTTTTGTGATCAGTCCTTTATCATTAGTGTTGTGTGCAAAAATGTTCTCCCAGTTGGTGGGGTTTCTCTTTGCACCCCGCTCCCGTGCCTGGGCACCTGGTTCCTGCTTACTCAGTGAGGGACTTTCACCCCAGTGAGGGCCTCCGCGCGTCTCCCCGCAAGCCTAGGTCGCAGGCGCGGGGACCTCGGCAGCCGCGATCCCGATCCGCGTTTGCTTTTCAAGCGCGCCAAGCGCGCCGCTTTTCCACGCAAGCTTACCGGTCGGCCCGGGGCTGTGTGCGCGTCTCCAGAGTCTTTGTTCTTCTCTAATGGCACCTGAAGCCATTTGCTCACCGCTGTGGCGAATCCTGCAGGGTTCTCCACAGCTCCCGTTCACGGGGTGTGGTGGCTGCAATGGTTCCTTTCCACTCACAGTCCCGCTTGCTGAGTCGTTTGTTCTTGTTGGTCGTTTTGGTTTGTTGTTTTCCTCCTCTCTGCGGGTCGGAGAGTGCCGCCTCTGTGGGCGGGGGAGGGGAGCAGGGTTCTGCGCTTCCCTCCCTTCTAGTCCTCTTTTATGGCAACTTTCTTCTTCGGGCAGTTTGCTGGCGTCACCCGTTTATCTTCCGTGTCCCACTTCTCACTGGGACCTGCCGCTTTTCCTCCCTATTAACTTTTTTTAATGGGAGATCTTACTCGCAGCATCTCCTCGCCACCATGTTGCTCCGACCCCCCCAGATTGATTGTTTATGTACAGGAAGGATCCTGATTTTTGGATGTTGATTTTGTATCATGCTACTTTACTAAACTGATTGATTAGTTTGATTAGTTTTTCTGTGGAGTTTTTGGGGTTCTCTAAGTATATTATCATATCTATGAATACTGATAGTTTAACTTCTTCCTTCCCTATTTGGATTTCTTGTATGTTTTTCTCTTGTCTATTGCTCTGGCTAGGACTTCCAGTATAATATTGAAAAGCAGTGGTGAGAGTGGACATCCTTGTCTTGTTCCAGATCTCTTCACCATTGGGAATGATACTGGCTGTTGGCTTGTCATATATGGCCTTTATGATGTTGAGGTATGTTCCTTGTATCCTGAGAATTTCAAGGGCCTTTATTATAAATGGGTTTGTACTTTGTCAAAAACTTTCTCAGCATCTATTGATATTATATAGTTTTTATATTTCTTTTTGTTGATGTGTTGGATTACACTGATTGATTTTTGGATGTTGAACCATCTTTGTGTTCCTGAAATAAATCCTACTTGGTCATGGTGAATTATCTTATGGATACATGGTTGGATTCTGTTAGCTAAAATTTTATTGAGGATTTTTGCATCAGTGTTCATTACAGAGATTGGCCTGTAATTTTCTTTTTTTGTGTTGTCATTCTTTGGTTTTGGTATTAGTGTAATATTGGCTTCATAGAACGTGTTTGGTATTATCCCTTCTTTCTCAATTTTTTGAAAGAGTTTGTGAAGGATAGGCACTAGTTTGTTTCTGAATGTTTGGTAGAATTCATTTGTAAATCCATCTGGTCCTGGACCTTTGTTTTTGGGGAGGGTTTTGATTACCATTTCAATTTCACTGCACAAAAACTAACTCAAAATGGATTAAAGAACTAGACATAAGACCTGAAACCATAAAATATATAGAAGGAAATATAGGCGAAACACTACATGACATATACACCTCAGTAACATCTTTAAAGACACATCACCCAAAGCAGTGATAGTGAAGGCAAAGATAAACAGCTGGCACTATATCAAATTAAAGAGCTTCTGTACAGCAAAAGAGACAGTAACCAAAACAAAGAGACACTCCACTGATTGGGAGAAAAATGAACAGAAGAGCTAAAAAGAAACTTCTCCAAAGTGGAAATGCAAATGGCCAACAGGCATATGAAAAAATATTCAACATCACTTGCAATCAGGGAAATGCAAATCAAAACTACAATGAGATACCATCTTACACCAGTGAGAATGGCACATATTGAAAAAACTAGCAACAACAAATGTTGAGGATGTGGAGAAAAAGGAACTCTCCTGCACTGCTGGTGGCAGTGCAAACTGGTCCAATCACTATGGAAAGCTGTGTGGAGATTTATCAACCTGCTAAAAATGGAGCTTACATGTGATCCAGTATTCCACTCCTAGGTATTTACCCAAAGGACACAGAAACATTAATTCAAAAGGGCACCTGCACCACTATGTTTATAGCAGCACTATTTACAATAGCTAAGCTTTGGAAACAACCCAAATGCCCAAAAATAGATGACTCGATCAAGAAGATGTGGTATACACACACAATGGAATATTACTCAGCAATCAAAAAAGATAAACTCATGCAATTTGCAGCAACATGGATGGAACTGGAAGGGATCATGCTCAGCAAACTAAGCCATAAAGAAAAAGAAAAGTACCGGATGGTCTCACTCATAGCAGGAATTTAGAAAACCTAAATAAGGGACCAGGAAAAAAACTAATTATACTAAAGTAAAAATCAAATCCAACAAGCAGCTATAAACCAGAGACACACTATGGGTGGTGGGGGATAGAGGAGGGAGTAGGATCAAAACAAGGGGGGTGGGAATTATATGGAGACTATAACTAAGATGAAAATGCATAAATTGTGCAAAAATGAAAAATGATGTAAAAAATGTATAAAATAAAAAAATAAAGTTTACATTCTTAAACAAAGTTTGTTTCTCTCTGCTTACTTATCTAAAATGCCTGTGAATTCCTTTTTACAGCTTCATGGAACAAGAACTTGTGGTGGTTCAAGGGCTAAATTAACAGCGCACACAGGTGTCATATGCACTCATATGTTCATGGCAACACTATTAGCCAAGGTATGGAAACAACCTAGGTTCATATGGAGAGGTGAGTGGATTAAGAAATGTGGTACATATACACAATGTAATACTACTCAGTTATAAAAAAGATAAAATCTTGCCATTTGGGACAACACAATTTGGATATGGAGATTGAAGGCGATTATGTGAAGTGAAATAAATCAGAAATAGGAAAACAAATACTTGTTGAGTTTACTCATAATTGAATATAGAGAAAGAAAACAAATGAACAGATAAAACCAAACCACAACAATGCTAGAAATTTGACTGTAGATTTCAGGCTAACAGAGATGGCATGTAGGGGATTGGAGAGCAGGAGACTATAGAGAAGGATTATGGGTACCTTGGTGGTGGGTGTGGTATGGTGACACACATGTGAATATGCGTGAGCCTTCACCTCTGATCCATACATGGTCTTATATGTCAACATTATCTCAATAAAATACAATTATGAAAATATATAAAATAGTTAATTTTATGTCCTAAGAATTTACCCTAAAGAAAGCTTTGTATTTAATTTAGGCATTAAATTACAGCAATTATAAATGTCTTATTTTTCTTGAGGAGGTAATTTTTCATTTGTGTCAATAATCATTTTATGATTCATCTTTATTCACAACATACTATACCAATTCACCAATCTATAGCTTATATGCTGCTTCCCTTGATGAAAAATGTGATTTCTAATTTTACTTAGAGCACAGTCTGTTTTTTTTTTTTTTTTGGTTCAAATTATTGAGCTGTTACCCATCTTGTTATGGCCCATTTCTTTCCAACCAGATTATGCAAGCTGTATTTATTTTCAATTACAATGAAAATTCAAGTAAAAAAAAAAATCCCTGCAATTTTAAAATGTAAGTCCCATCTTTCTTTTCCTACAAGATTTATACAAGTTCCAGAGACTGAGATAGTAGAAAGCCAGGTTGACTTTTGGAATGAGTGACAGAAAAATTGATCAACTTAATATTTTAGGAACCTAATATTAGTTGAAGTTATTGGACCAATTATAAGACAGTCAAAGAAATGGTTCTGAGTCATAGCAACACTTTCACTCTGTATGTGATTTGACTACTAAAACATTTATTTTGATCAAAATGAAAAACTATCAGATGTATAATCATATTTCAAAGTGTTCATATGTGTATCCATCTTTTAATCTAGCAACTTTACATCTAGGCATCTCACCAATAAGGTCAATGAATTAATTCTGTGCTCATTTTTATTGCCAAATATGAACCATTATACAACATTTGTGCTGCTCCTCAAATCCCTCTTATTTGGGATCTTTTTACCCCTGTAACTTTAACTGTGAATGTTTTCTGCTGATAGAAACCATTTTTGCCACCAAAAAGAAAGAGTTTCTATTCTTACCATAATTAAGAGCTTCTGGTGCTGTCCATTTAATGGGAATCTGCTTTAAGCCAGAAGATGAATACACTCCACCATCTTCTTGACGAGACATTCCAAAATCACTGATTTTCAGAACACTATTTTCACCTACCAGGCAGTTTCTTGCGGCAAGATCCCTAGGTAATAATAAGACACAGAAAACACCTATTAAAAACAAATTGAAAGCCTCTTTCACATTTATCACGCCCACACTTCTCAGTTTTACATTTGCAAAGTATTTTTAATGAGGTTAGGAATGCTTGGGATTCACCAGTCCATCCCATCTTTTCTATCATAGGTAAAAATCTTACATGAGAACACTTGCATATGGAACAGGCAACATGCTAATTTTTTAGGTGCCACATATATTTCCATTTAAATAGAAAAACACTGATTCTAGGGTAAAAAGAGAAAATCACAGAGGAGAGGCTAAGCAAACATGGCAGGCATTACTTGTGCTGTGATTGGTTTTCCTAGCAGTAGTGTATAAGAGTCTCTGTGATGACAGTGTTCTCTAGCTATGCTGCACTGGCCCCAGGTGGCCATCAGTCTCATGTGGGCACCTGAGCACTTTCTATGTGGCTAATTGATGAAGAAATTAACATTGTCATTGATTTACTTTTGATTAATTAAACTTAAAAAGATGCATGTGACTTGTAGATACTGAGAAGCCTTTGGCTATGTAGCCCTAGAGGTTTCCAAAGGTTGAGGGGGAGGCCAGTGATTCTCTACACGTTGACCCAGCCCTGCCTCCTCTGCCATCTTGTTCCACTCTCTCCATAATTTTTTATATTGTAGCCCTACTGGGATTCTTTCTGTCTCCAAGTGCAGGACAAGTCCTCTAAATACAGAAAGCTAATTTCTAATGTAAGGTCTTTACACTCAGTTGTTTCCGTTGTACCATTTTCTCCTCCCTCTCTATTTTTAAGTAAAAGAACCTTGATTTTAGTGGGATATATTGTCATTCAGCTAAAAACTGCCCCACACTTATAGCTAGGAGAGGCTATAATGGGCCCAATGAGAGGTAAACAGGAGATTTGTCTAAAAATTTTAGGAAGTTTCTTTAAAATAAAGGGGAAGTGGGCCTCCCTGGTGGTGCAGGCGGTTGAGCAATGCACTGTGAAGCTGTCCGCTGCCTCTGCAGCGCGGGTTTGATCCCTGCGGGTCGGTCGGTGCGAGAATTCCACATGGCGCAGCAGACCTCTCCTGCTGCCTCCGCTGCTCCCCTCAGCAGTGTATTTTGTCAGTCGGCCTGTGACTGTTCCCTTCGTCAGTCTGTATGTTCCCCGCTCTGTCTCTGGTGAATCTTCTCACCCTCCCACGTATCTGGCCTGTACCCCGGTTTTGTATAAAAAATAAATCTTTTTTTTTTTTTTAAAAGATTTATTTATTTATTTATACAAGCACTGGGTACAGTCAGAAGCACGGGAAGGTGAGAGAATTCACCAGAGCCAGAGCGGGGAGCAGAGCAGGCAGAGTGACTGAAATACACTGCAGAGGGGAGCAGCGGAACGCAGCAGGAGAGGTCTGTGCGCCATGTGGAACACTCGCAGGCGTCCGGGGATCAAACCGGCGCTGCAGAGGCTGCGGGCAGCTTCACAGCCCAGCGCTCAACCGCTATGCCACCAGGGGAGGCCCTAAAAAATAAATCTTTAAAAAAATAAAATAAAATAAAGGGGAAGTGCCATAGCATTTCTCCCCACCCGCTCACTAACCAAGGAGAAACAACACTACAGCAGAAGAGCAGCAAGAAATAAGAGGTCTGGAACTCTGAGGACTATGGCTGCCATACATATTTTGGAGTGCCTTTCTGTCTCTCTCTCTCTTAAAGATTTATTTATTTATGCATACAAGAACTGGGGTACAGGCCAGAGGTACGGGGTGGGTGTATGAGAGGATTCACTAGAGACAAAGTGGGGAGCAGACCAGATGAAATGACTGAAACACACTGCTGAGGGGAGCAGAGGGCAAGACAGAAGAGGTCTGCTGCACCATGTGGGTTAGCTACCTGGCCTGGCATCAAACTTGTGCTGCAGTGGCTGTGGATAGCTTCATAGTGCTGAGACTTAACCCCTTGCGCCACCAGGGAGGTCCTTTTCTCTACCTCTTTTTTAAAGACATGCTGACTTTGAGATGTCGATTAAACATGAAGAGGAGTTATCTAATACACAGGTGTGTATATTAGTCTGGAGGTCAGAAGGCAGGTTTAAGAGTTGTCAGTTTTCAGATGATATTTGAAGTTATAGGATTGTAGAATGTTTTCATCTAGAAAGCTTTCGTAGAGAGAAAAAAGAAGTTGTTCAAAGATTATCTTAGAGCACTTTATCATTTAGAGAATGATGGAAGACCAGAGGCTGAGAAGGAGCATCTTTGAGGCCAGAGGAAAACAAGGAAGAGGTTGGTGTCCTGGAAGTGAAGTGAGAAAAGTTTTTCAAGGAGGAATAGAAATCAGATCTGTCAACTACCACTGAGAAGACAAGGAAGATGAGACTATTAACTGATCATTGGAATTTAGCAACATAGAATTTAATGAGTCACTGATAACAGCAATTTCAGTGAAGTGGTAAACACAAAAATATAATTGGAGTATATCCAAAAAAAAAAAAGAAAGAGAAGAAAAAGTAGTGCCAGTTTCGATATTCTTCTGAGGAAATTTGCTGTAAAAGGGGAATAGAGAAATGGAGAGAGAAATAGAGGGAGTTTCAGGTCAAAGGATTTTCTCTCCCTAATATGGGGATTATTACATACACATATAGTGTGCATATATATGTGTGTGTATAATATATACATATGCATATGGTAATAATATTGTAAAGGGTTAAAATTAAAGAGGTAAGGAAAGGTGACAACTACAGGTGTGAAGTCCTAATGAAAGCAGAGGGGCACACCATGTGTGCTTTCAAGAGTGTATTCCCAATTCCTAGAATAGTACTTGGCACATAGTAGGTGATCACTAAACACTTGCTAAATAAATATATACATACATACATACACATACCTACCTACCTACCTACCTATATACATACATACTACCTTATCCTAGGAGTTACTCTTTCTGAAGATTATCATTTTTTTTGCTTTTACCTCCTTAATACTTTCCTTCTGAAGAATAATCAAGAATTAGTTTCACTAGAGATGGCTGAATAAACTAATGTTTGGAATGCATCTTTAAACATTAAAGATGACTCAGAACTTAGGAAAAATTAAGCCTAATTTATATTAAAGTCTTATAACATAGGAAGTACCTTCAACAACTCATTTATAACAACAGTTGACTGATGATAATGTTATTTCCTAAGGGTGTTAAAATAACCCTGAAATTGCTGAGCAAAGTTGGTATCAGAGAAATGTTATTTTTCTATTACAGGAGGGAACTTGGGTAGTATTGCATGAAGGTATTATAAGGACTGTGAAATTTTTAGCTCATTAATTTGCAAAAAATCTCTTTATTCATTAGATAAAATTTAAAGTGGAGAACCTTAGAAAAAGCCCAAGGTTAGAATTAAATCTCTGACTCATTTCCAGTTTTTACATGTAGAATGGATGCCAACTGAAAGAGTCAGAGAACCTGGTTTTCTGCTAGACAAAATGAGTGATCATGAGATGCTGGTTAATTTACCTACTTATCTTAATCTGTAAGAAGGAAGTATCATATTGGCTGAGGATCTGTAAATTCTACTTACGGAATAGTTAGAATAAATCCCAGCTCTGCCATGGAATGTTTGTATGGCCTTGGCACACTAAGCTTCACTTTACTCATCTAAATATACAACCTAACAGGGTTAAATGAGGTAATGATTAAAAAATGTCAGCATATACTATATGGCTCAAAATAAGTTTTAAATAAGCCATCATCATTATCATCAGTTTTATTATTTCTACTGTTTATGTAGTACTACTACTACCATTACTACAAGAGGCCATGGAACAGCATTTATAAATCATTTTTCAAAACAGCTTCTAACAGTATGTCATGATCGCAAAGGAAAAGCGGCCAGCACCTGGAAACTCAGGACCACATAGTAAGACTTGTGAATTTTTCAGTAGATTATTTCCTTTCTATAACTGTTATATTTCATCATTATGCCCAAAGAAAGATCCAGGAGGGTATTGGTACTTGTTCACTGTTTGACCAATAACTAGACTGTATGCTTTTTTTTTTTTTCCTTAGCTTTTAGTTCGATTTAGGGATACATCTCCTGTACGTGCTGTGCTCCTCTATTAGAATGGGAGATGAAAACACTTCTTAATACTTTCCTGAAGGTAATCATACATTAAAACTTTTTAATAAATAAAAGTGATCTTTTGGAGAAATTTTTTAGTGGTTCTGGATATATTTGCTCAGATATGGAGATCAATCTCAATTTAATTATATTTCATATATTTAAAAGAATTTTTTTAAAAGAGAACAAGCCATATACTATATTGTTTAAGTTCTGGATCCACAATTTGTCTTTAAAATCTATCTTCTGAGGTTCCTTTCAGGCACGACAATGAAAACCATAGTCCATGTTTCCTAATGATTGTAGCTAAAATCTCTAGATGAATATAATTACTTGGCAAAGGCAACTGCATGAGAATGAGTTCCTTATTTTATAGTTGTCTCTCTTGCAGCTTTTCCCTGAATGTAGGCTCCAGTGATAGAAGAATATCAGGGAGGTAGCATTAGTGCAATGTCAATAAAAATCACATGTTTCTGCCCAGTAAAAACAAGAATAGAGGTCCTCGTAAGCCAATGATTGTGGGGAAAATCAAAGTAGGAAATGAGACAGAGAAGAGGATCATCTGATTCTGCAACTGAACCCTCAGAAGTCTCAGTCTGAGCACTGAGCCATCCAAACTCAATTTGAGAACTGAAACCAACGTTAAACCACTGCCTAAACCTCAAAGTTATCCCTAACACAGGACAGACCCAAATACAGCTTTTGAGAAGTCAGTTGTGAATTGAGTCACAGTCCACAAAGGAAACACTGAATTTTATGTTCTGAACCTGCCTGAGTTGATTGCTCTCTAAAACAAAAACCATAATCTCCAGAAGAATATAATAGGAATTTGGTGTCTACGTGATATAACATTTCACAATATTAAAGACACAATTTGAAACTGTTAGATAAGGGCCTCCCCAGTGGCACGGCAG